TTTTCAATTACTGAAATATCTGAAAATTGTTTTATTGTAATGCGCAGTTATACAAAAATTCCTGTAAAAAAATACAATAACTTCAAAACCTTAAAAAACAGAGTTACTTTTGAGGTTACAAATGACCCCTCACAACTTTCCTTTATCCTCTCCACACTTTAGTTCCTGTAACAAATATAGAACTAAGTATAGGACTGTCTCTAAACAAGCAGAAGTTTTTGTGGTTTGCATAAAAATGACCCAGTTTGAAGGGAAAAAAAACTGAAGATGAGGGGGGAAAAGGCTATTTCTGCATGGTGCGAAAACAGAAATGATGACTGTAGGTTCCTCATTGTGTCTCGTTCTCGTCTACAGATCGCCGTGCAGACTCTGTGGAACATAAAACTTGCTGTGTTGGTGAAACCTGAACACGAGAACCGGATAAGCCACGTTGGGATGTCCAGTGTCAAGACGGGCATCGCCAATACCCTGGGTAACGGCTCTACTCTGTATTCAGTCTCTGCTATTCCTTCCTATGTCTTGCTTCCTGCTTCAAATGTAGGAGGAAATAGCTCTGATTTCCTGTCTTAACAATGGCCTCCTTGAGCAGTGTTCATGACTGAATCACTTGTTAGTCGATTAAAAAATGTGGGACCTGTATTAGTAAGAAAATGTGAATTAAAATCTAAACTTTCACAAAAATCTTGAGTTCATAAGAAAAAAAAAATACAGATTTCCTTCAGCTCAGCAAACTGGAGCCGTTCATTGTTTCTCATATTTTAACTTTAATTTTAATCACAGCCAGATGCCCGATGATCCTTTAAAAGTTTCTGTTAAGTAATGCTTGTAATTGCACCTAATTTGCTGTATTTTGATTTAATGTTTGCTTTGATGATTTCTAGGTAACAAAGGAGCAGTGGGCGTGTCTTTCATGTTCAATGGGACGTCGTTTGGCTTTGTCAACTGTCACTTGACATCAGGGAATGAAAAGATTGCCAGGTGCCCAACACGCTCTCATTTTTATTTTTTTATTTTTTTTTTGTTTTAAACCTCTCAATATCAACAACAGAGAATTCCTACTGCAAAAGAAACCACACCCCCTTTTAATTCTAAGGTCTTTAAATAATTCAAAAAAATCATCCGGTCCTTAGCACGTCTTAGAATCAGGTAAATACAACCTTAGATGAACAGCAGCACATGACATGTTACACTCTGATTATTTATTTTAGAACACGGGACAAAATCCCAAACACAGCAGCAAATCTACAACAGAATGGCTGAAAAAAAAAAGGATGAAGGTGCTGCGATGTCCCAGTCAAAGTCTAGACCTCAACCTAACTTAAATACCGTGGCAGGACCTTAAAGAGATGAGCGTATACGTGTACAATCATACAAACACAATCACTGCAAGTTCATTGCTGCTAAAATTGGATCCACAAGCTTCAGAATCAGAGATGCTTTGTTTTTCACACATAGTTTCTGCTTTTTGTCTTTCTTGTCAAATCAATAATGACACTGGGTAATATTTATAATATTAATCAATACTTAATCTAATAATTCATCATAGTAATTGAAAGAGGCTGTGCTTTCTGTTTGCCATAAGTGTAAACTTGGTTTGGTTTTTCATTATAATTTGGTGAAAGCTTGTTTAAATGTCTTTTTATGTGTTACCTTTGACCTCTGCAGGAGGAACCAGAACTACCTTGATATCCTGCGGCTGCTTTCACTGGGAGACAAACAGCTGAGCTCCTTTGACATTTCGCTGCGCTTCACGCACCTCTTTTGGCTGGGAGACCTTAACTACAGGCTGGATATGGACATACAGGTGAAGCAGAAATAAATACAGGCAGCCTGCAAAACGTGGATGAAACTTTTCTGTCTCACCCTGTTTTTTGCGTGTGTGTTTGCGTGTGCAGGAGATTTTAAACTACATTAACAGGAAGGAGTTTGACCCCCTGCTGAAAGTGGACCAGCTCAACTTGGAGAGAGAGAAGAATAAAGTGTTTTTACGCTTCGGTTAGTGCTGGTTATGAATATCCTCACGAGTCAGAGCAGGATGTGTTTCAGTGTACAGAAATATAACAGTAATACCAGTGAAAAGTCAACACTGACAAAAGACTCCTGTCCTTAAAGCAGAGTTTCAGTGGTCTTATAAACACAAGCGAAGGGATGACTCACACTTACCAAAAGCACCTGCTCAGCACTCTTGTTGTTCCCTGAATAGTTCACCATCAGCTCTGGTTTTTCTTTCCAGACTTCAGTGGTTCTTAAACTGTGGGCTGTGCCCTCGTGGTGGGGCACAGAGCCACTGCAGGAGGGGGTGTAACCGGGGGGGAGGATGTGGAGCTAAACAAAGTTGGATAGTTATGATTTTTACTGAGAAAATGAACCGACGTTGGCTGTTTGCTGACATTTGCTACACTGGAATTGAACTTGGACCCTTTTTTAATGTTAATGATTAATCCAAACAATAGGGTGTGTGGACTTGTTTTATCTTCTGAAGTGAGTAATTCAAGTCATTCACTGCTGAAGCCTTTTTCACTTTTAAATATTATTTCATCTTAACTCAATGCAATGACGTCTGCACGTCAACACTGTGATCAGTGTGTGATATCACTGGGATTATTTGTTTTAGTAGGTAACTAAAAATCAGCTGTTGCCCTGCAATGTTATCCAGTGAGCCATGATGCCATGTAATAAATCCTTACAAACCGATTACTGAGAACTTGGTCATGATTGCTAACCCGGGGTTATAAATACTGTGAATCGCACCTGCTGTTATATCAAAATTATAAATATTGTGAAGAAATGCTAAACCTCGACCCTTTACTGAAGTGGATGTGTGTCTCTTTGCATGCAGCGGAGGAAGAAATCTCGTTTCCGCCCACCTACCGTTACGAGCGAGGCTCAAGAGACACGTATGTCTGGCAGAAGCAGAAGGCCACAGGGGTACGTTCCCATTCTTACGTCAGAGCCACCTCTGATAAATTCTTTCTGTTCTTGTGCCTCGTCCTGATAATTCTGCTTTTCCGTCTGTCCCAGATGAGGACTAATGTTCCATCGTGGTGCGATAGGATTCTGTGGAAGTCTTACCCAGAAACACACATAGTCTGCAACTCCTATGGTGAGGATCATCAGAAGAAGAAAGCCTCTTCATAATTTCACCTCATAATGCTAAGTGGACAGAAATTAAAGTTGTTGTTTTTTTTGTTTGTTTGTTTTTTTGCCAGGCTGTACAGACGATGTTGTGACCAGTGATCATTCCCCTGTATTTGCTACATTTGAGGTGGGCGTGACCTCCCAGTTTGTCTCCAAAAAAGGTACAAATTTAATTTTGTTTCCTTTCTGTCACTTCCTCTACTTCCTGGTCTCACTTTATCTGGCTTTTCTTCCTCCCACAATCTTTTTGGAGTTCATTATTGTTATTGTTCATGTTATTTAAGCGCTCCGTGTTCAACAAGTAACATTTAGAAGTGAGTAATTAAATACATGCCTGTCTGCACAACCCACACAGATCTTTCCTTCTCTTTCCATCTTCCTCCTCCTCCCTCCTGTCCACATACTTCTGCACAGGTTTGCCAAAGTCTTCAGAGCAGGCCTACATCGAGTTCGAGAGCATTGAGGCCATAGTAAAGACGGCGAGCAGGACCAAGTTCTTCATTGAGTTTTACTCCACTTGTCTGGAAGGTGAGGTGAATGTGAATGCTCATAGACATAAATATAATGAGCAGTCCGACAGAAGGAGTTGCGGTAAAGCAACGTGACCCAGAATGGATGCAATAAAAATGTTTTTGCTTCTTCTTATTTGTATCTTTCTCCCTCCCTCCTGGTCTCAGGCAGTCAGTATTACCTTTAAACTAGAATCCATAAAATCCATTTTTCACCTGTGTTGTTCCCCTGCCACCTGTCCACCGTGTACTTTTAAATTAAAATGCAATGGGTACCTGAATCCTCACCCCGCTCTTTTCCCCACCGTCTTCCCTTTATCCTCTTCCCCTTCCTCTCGTCCCTGCATCTCTCTCTCTTTGTCTTTCTCTCTGTCTCTAATCCTTAGAGTTTAAGAAGAGTTACGAGAACGACAGTCAGAGCAGCGATAACGTGAACTTCCTGCGCGTGGGCTGGTCCAACAAGCAGTTAACAACACTCAAACCTCTTCTGTCAGAGATCGAGTACCTGCAGGATCAGCATCTCTTGCTAACAGTGAAATCACTGGATGGATACGAGTCCTATGGTATAAAGATTGTCTGTGCTTGTGGTCCTTTGAAGTTTAAAGGGAATCTAGTTTGCTGGAATCTAACAAATCTCCCCCACTCTTTTTAGGCGAGTGCGTGTTGGCTCTGAAGTCGATGATTGGCAGCACAGCACAACAGTTCCACACCTACCTGTCTCACCGTGGGGAGGAAACAGGAAATATCCGAGGGTCAATGAGGGTCAGAGTCCCTTCTGAAAGAATGGGAACCAGGGAGCGATTGTACGGTAATGCACTTTCCACCTTAACACCAATTACCTACAAAGAGAGGAGATGCTAAATGTCTTTCAAGCTTGCTGCATCCATCACTTGAACAGTTCCTGCCTGCATGTTTTCAAATTTGCAGACAGGAAGTGATGGATCTAGGGTTAGAAGCATGTCACGTTTAGTTCTAAAACTGATTTTGTTGCTGTGTTTCAGAGTGGATCAGCGTGGATAAGGATGAGACGAGTGGACCTAAAGGGAAATCTGCTGTGGTATGCAGATCGGGGCATGAGTATGTGAAGTCAGTACACTCTCCTTTTTTTGCACTTGATTTTTATTTAGAGTTCCCACACGTCAGTGGGGATTTTTCTGTATAGCGTATGTTGATGATGTGCTGGCATGTACCTAAATATCGATGCTTAAATACCTTAAGGGATTGAGTCGTAGCAGTCAGGTCTTTTTGTGAGTTTGTTGATGAATGCGTTTGAACAGCTGAGCCGGGTAACTT